ACAGATCAAACCCTGAAACAACTTCTGGGCTGATCTGAGTCAGGGCATGGCTAACTCAAAGATCAAACCCTGAAGCAACCTCTGGGCTGATCTAAGTCAGGGTAAGGATAACTCACAGATCAAACCTTGAAACAACCTCTGGGCTGATCTAAGTCAGGGCACGGCAAACTCACAGATTGAATAGCGCAGCGCAACCGTGACGTCATAAAAACGAAGACAAAGGCGAAATTTGGACAAACAAACTTACAAGTTTACTTTCAGCAGATAATTTTCACAGCCGATCGCAGTTGATCTTAGTTTACATGGGTTATTATTGTAACTTTAAGTAAAAATAATAAAATGGGTTCGTATAATCCTCGTGGTGGTTAAACAGAATGCAATGTTTGTCTGAATCTTTAATCTATTTTTAGAATCAGTGTGCTGCGCTATCGAAGTTTAGCTTTTTGGGTTTTGTGAAAGGACAAAACCTGGACAAAAAACCCTCAAATATATACGGCATCCAAAATTATTATTTGGTATAAATGTAGACATCATTTAATTCTTTCGTAGTCTTACCAACTGGTCCAGCTTGTAGAAAGCACTCCCATAACAAAGTTTCTGATACTTTCTCATCCAAACCTCCGACATAGATAGTCGCATCTGAAAACAAGAGAAGTTGTCTTAGCTTGTGCATATTTTGATTGAGAAACAGTAACTGTTCTATAAACAACTGTTGTATAAGCTTAACACTAATAGCTTCTTATTTCCCATGATTGCACATGATTGCTTTCAAACTGATAAATTATTTTACTTGCATGATGATATTCGAGAGAAGCTTGATTTGCATGAAATATAGATATTTTTCTTTGCGTTTGTATCAAATTTGAATCTAAAAATATGCAGTTCACAACACAGAATTCATAAAACAACCACGCTGAAGAATAAAAAAGCTTTATAATGAAGACTTCGCAACCCTTAAACCCAAACTTTTTTATCTAACTACCAGTTATTGAGTCTATACTACCATTTAAGAGCAAAGATTGTTAAAAAACAACGTTAATCTGTCGTTCACGAGAAAATCTTATCAAAAAACGTTTTCAAAATGCAAGTACGTGGTGACAACAGACAAGAAACAAAAGCAAACAAATAGCATAGTAAAAATTCATATTTTAGCGTAAAAATGGGAATAGAGCTAGAATACTGCATAGCTAATATATACGCCGAAGGACAGAGAGTTTGGAATAGTCTAAAAAGATAAAAAGAGCAAACAAACCTTGATTTCTTTCTGCTATCGGACCGGCCGCCATGCTGAATTTATGACATTAACCACAATACATAGCAGGTTACTCCATTCCACAGGGAACCCAAACCTTTAAAATAACTTTATCATATCAGTTAACACTCATCAGAATTTTACAAAGAAATACTAGATAAATGAATCTTAAAACTAATACTAAATCTATACTGTAATTTAAAACTGCTAAAAATTTATTAGATAATGTACTATAAAGAATAAAACACCTGCTTTCCATAGTGCTGTGCAATACGACCAACAGTAGAATCCTTTTCGATTCTTTTGTTAATATAGCCACACAAAAAAGTTCTAAGTTTTAAAGTTCTTCTGTAAATTCTCCGTTTTATTGATTACGTTTTGATGCCGCTAGTACAAAAATCTTTTCCATTATTCTGTTCTGTTCTGTTAGTCAAAACACAGGGAGCCCAAAAGGTTTTTAGTGTGTCATTAAAAATATCATTTTTTTGTGAAAGTTTTAGAATTTTCGCGAATAGCTACGTTTTCTTTGGCTCCTTTTGCTTACTAGAGCCATGTTTTAGGACAATCTGAGCCTTTTTAACAAAAAAAAATTATACATTCCCCACTTAGCTTGGGCTGCCTGTGTTCAAATTAATGACCCCCATTATTATTATTGATCTTGCGACCCCTCTTAGAATGAATGAAAATATTTCATGAAACTTAATTCTAGTCATGATATTAAGAAAAATACACAACCACTGTTCGTAACATAATAGTAAGAATTTTCCAAATTAAATTCCAAGAGTTGGTATCATTGTCTGTCACTATTTGTTGACTAAAGACATTTAAAACAATAACATTGAAAGCCTTATGTAATCATAATCAAGAGTCCGTTTCTCAACGTTTTGTCACATCGGCTTTAAACTGCATCCCTTTACAGCGTCCTTTAGAGCAATTAAACATTGTCGCATAACAATACACCGTACTTTAGCCATTTATAGGTCATATTTGAAATCTTTTCTTAAGATATGGAACCACTTAACCCAGAAATTGATAAAAACCTTAAAATTGTCACCAAAAAGAGAAAGAAATGGCGTGCAATATTCTTAGGTGGGTTAGCAATCCTTGGAATTTTCTGCCTCGTGTTTATTATCCTTTTTGCTGTTGAAAGAGAAGCTAGAAAGAAAGCAGAAAAGAAGGCAAGAGGAGTTACGACAAAAAAGATTTGTGACTCTAAAAGGTGTCTCTTCGCAGCCGTGGGTGAGTACCTTTTTTGTTTTAGTACTAGCCACTCTTAAAATGGTGAAAATTACTCACGGATTAACACAAGCTCTGTGTGGCTGCAATATTATTTTAGTCTTTGATCTAATACTACAAAACACTCCGGCTGCTTTAGTACTCGAGTTTAGAACATGCGTGTTTAGTGTTTTCGACAGTTTTAGGATGTCTTTTTTTTGTTAGTCCGACAGAGTGCCACAAAAATACTTAGTTTCAAAAATTCATTATATTTCGCTATTATCAATGTGACAAATTTGATAACAAAATTCTTTTTCCGATAAATCAAATATTTTATAATCTTAGTACACTAGTTTGATATAGAAATATCAATGAACTGGAAAAAAGACGAAAAACACCATAGTTAACTATGCAGAAACAGAACATATTCGTCTTGATAATCCGTAAGGCCAAAGGTGAACCGAGGTTGTTATGGAAAGTTTAGCATTACGTCACTTCCTCTATCACATAACGAAACAACGTCCACATGCACAAAACCTTATTTTTGAAGCCATGAATGAAAATTATAGTTTCTCAACAAAAGAAGGTTTTAAATCTTTATTAAAGTGATTTCGAAGACTTTTTTATATTCTTGCACTATATGAGTTGGCGTGATATCTTCACATGGCACGGCCATCCATCCTCTACTCCAAACGCCAAGACACGTCATATGATATCGTATAAACTTCGCATAGTTCTCTACCAGGTTCTCTGCCAAGCTGTGAGCTGAACATACTTTTGTCACCAACTTTCCCAGCAAAAATTCACAGAAAATTCTTCTCAAGGAGCAGAGTTGGATGCGTGTGGTAACTAGATAATTTCTTTTTCAAAATGGGAAGCACTTTAGAGCAGCCGTTTGGGGGATCCACGGATGATTTCTATGAAGGAGATACGCACGTGAAATACAAGCTTAGACATTTTGGGAAGTTTAAGATCCTTGCAGTCGTTGCTGGTGTCCTAGCTGTTCTTACTATTGTATTTATTGTACTATTCGCTGTGTCAATGAGCCGAACAAAGGAGAAAGGAACCACGAGTGGAAGGCTTATCTGTGACACTAAGAATTGCCTTTTCACAGCTTATGGTAAGAAAGTTTGTTTGCATGCACGATTCTCTTCTGTTGAAGTTATCATTTGCCTAAGATTAATACATTCTCTTCGAAAGATATTCCATGCACAAGAATAACGACATGCCATTGAATAGTTTAGAAAGGTTTCCTTTTGAGGGAGAGGAGTCTTAAAGTGGTATTATGAAGCCCAATTATTCGTTTTTACCTATTCTAATTTAATGTATGGTGCTTGAGACCTAGGTAACGCAATGTAGTCCTAGTAACACAATCACACAGTTAAGCATGAGAGGTCATTGCAATTCGTTTTAGTTGAGAAATCGTCTAAGGGCATAGTATAGCCATTTTTGATAGCGAAATAGTAACGTCTACGAACGTCGGCTGTGCGGATCGGGAAGTGTTCCTTCAGCTAGCCGACGATGCGTACTTTACCCGGTACCCCTCTCTACGTACATCAGTGCTCTGTTTTAATCTACTTTCCTCTGTTTTTATCTTTCCATCCGTCCATCCGTCCATCCTTCCATCCATTCATCCACCTACCCACTTATCTATCCATCCATTCATCCCATCTATTCAATCTATCCAACCATCCGTCCCATCCATTCATCACATCCATCACATCCATCACATCCATCACATCCATCCATCCATTCATCCATCCATCACATCCATCACATCCATCACATCCATCCATTCATCCATCCATCACATCCATCCATCCATCCATCCATCCATCCATCCATCCATCCATCCATCCGTCCGTCCGTCCGTCCATTGTTCATCCATTTTTTAAAAAATTTCGTTTTAGAAAAGCCATTATATATCAATCTTAATCAAGGTATTCCGGCTTCAAATTGAACCATTCCTGATTTTCCGGATATAGGTCACTCTAGTACTGATTTGAATATGACGCTGTCATACTCGGATAGGTTTACCACACTACACACGGCCTCACATGAGAAATCCTAGCTCCTGTTCGCCTTCAACATGGTATACATTTTTAATTTTTTCATATCTTTAGGTTATTTATATTCAATTGAATGCGTTTGCAATTTTTCTTTTCTCTTTTCATTCAAAACTGGCTAGGATCCCGAAGGTGATAATGACTTCAATCTCAAGTACAAGCTTCGACATTTCCAAAATTTTAGGCTTCTTCTGGTCTTAGTAGCCGTTCTCGTTGTTCTGTGTATAGTTTTTATTGTTCTATTCGCCGTTGAGAGATCCAAGACAACTCCGACGCCATTGCCTCCGCCGCATCAATGTAACACTAAAAAGTGTGTAATTGCAGCTTATGGTAAGAAGGAAAAAAAGGTTTTTCCTACCTGTAATCTTGTAGTTAAAATACTTATCATTTGTGGCCGCAGATTTGCTTAAATTTACACCATTTTTGAAACATTATCGAGTCAAAAATACAATACTAAATTTATTATTCGCAAACCATTTGAGAGTAACTCAATCACGCAACCACGATATTCGAGGGGGGAAATGTAATTCCGAATCTAAGTACTACGAGAGAATTGTTTGAAAAAAAACTGAGCTTCATTTGAATTTTTTTTTTTTTAATTAATTAGTTTTTGTTTTTGTTTTTTTTGTAGTAAAGATAAATTATTAAATCAAAAAGACCAATATAGGAAACCAGCGATGTCACTTGTGCAGAGGAAAGCAAAACACAAGACTAGAGCTTTTGGAATTCCTTTTTAATCAGTCGACTGATTTTGATTTTTTTTTTTTTCAAATGTTTTGTGTGGGAATTAATTAGGATTTCTCCTGATTCCTAGTGCTTTGTGGTTTCCATTTTACTGTATAGTTTTTCTTTTCTTTGAAAATCAGCTGTCAGGTGAATCTGATTTATATTCGGAGTTTTTCATGTTTTAATCATGCTTTTATGACCGTGTTATGTTTCTTGTTTTTTAGAACAATGCATTAAGAAATACTTAAACCGCTGCTATGAAAAGTTCTTTAAAAAGGAAAGTTCTTGAAAAAAAAGAAGAAAAAAAAAAAAAAAAAAAAAAAAAAAAAAAAAAAAAAAAAAAAAAAAAAAAAAAAAAAAAAGACAGATTAATCTACGAACTCCCGTCTCGATGTATCATGCTGAAAAAAGGGTTTTTGAAATTTTATCGAAACGAGCTGTTTTAATGCCGTTTATATTTATATATATTCCTAACTTTAAAAAATGCTGTTCTAAATAAAACGTTTCATCATTATTATCCATATTCCTTAGGATTCGAAAATAAAAATTATGCTTTAGCTTTAGACGCATTGTCGACATTACGGAGCGAAAACTTCCGGTATAAGCGTGCCAAAACCCAGTGAACCGATAAAAACCTAAAAATCTATAACCTAAGGGTGAAGTAAATTTATCTATTTCTGTTTTTGATACTAATAAGAAATGTATATACAAATCCATGATAATTGTTGTGCTCACTGAAGCGGGCTTCCTGTATCTTCGCTTGTAGTAAAAACACGCACTGCTAGAGTCGCAAAGTGGTATCCTGTTTTTAAGCAATCTGATTGGACGGTAATTGTTTTTGCTGTTTCTAATTGGTTCAGAGCGGAAGCCAATTGGATGTTGTGGAAGCTACCACAAGTTTCCCAATCATTCAAAAACCTTCTAATTACTATTCTATCGATTAAAAAACTAGTTTGGGAAAAAATACAAAAATCTTTTTACGGATGATAACACGATTTTTTGTCAAGCCTTTTCCGGTTTCAATATGAGCTGTCTAGACGCTGTGTCTTCTAATCAAAAGAACTACTTATGATTGAAAAGGCGTCAGATTTTGTCTTCCATTAATAACAATTTGATTAAATTTACAAGTTAACTATTTTTTTCTCAGTATCGTACTTCACCTGCTAGCGTAGTAACCGCAGAAAGTGCCACAAAGGTCAATGCTACCCATTTCTTTAATTGAAGTATACATATTTAGTAAAAATACGCAGGTGATTATAGGAAATCTCGCGCGCTGATTGGTCAAGAAACTCACACTATCACACGATAATCACCTCGAGCGAAAATCCAAAATGGCGGCCAGCCGCTTTGTTGCTGCTACCGGGAAAAAAATGCCTTTTATCTTCTTTTTCTTCTTCTTCTAAAACAATTATTTGCCTCAGGCTCAGTGATTATCGGGGAATATTTACCTCGCCGCTAGAAGACTCACGTCTCGGTAAATATTCCCCGATGATCACTTCGCCTTCGGCGAATAATTGTTAAATAATGCACCCCTTTCGTTCTAAAAGCCCGCGCTACGTTTTCGGTTATCTTCGCAAAGATGTAAGATTGCGTCCCTATTTTTTAACGCCTGCGAAAAAATAGAAAATGATTCTCAAGAGAATGAAATGGCGTGCAATAGGAAAAGGTAATACTCAAACGATATTTAAAAAGGCGTTTCATTTTCACAGCAGCCATGTTGGCGGACAAGACAACAGAGATTTTCTCCTTTGGGAAATTAAATCTCTTGTTATACAAAGACATTGCATTCTTCCTACTCTACGACATATATAGCTGCTGTTAAACTCTCTAATAAATGATTCTTTTTTGCAAGTCACGTCATGGTCGCCATATTGATGGTATTTCACAGGGCCCAGTTGTACGAAGGGTGGATAGCACTATCGAACGGATAAAATCCTTATCAAGTGGAAAAGTCGATGCTCTTATCCAATAAATTTATTCACTGAATAAGATTTATCCATCGGATAGCGCTATCTTCCTTCGTACAACCAGCCCAGATTTCTTTTTTAAAGAATGCCACCAACATGGCCGCCATATCTTCGTTTGGTTCATGGCTTTCTTGGGAATGATCGCAAACTATTAACAACCTCTTATTCGTTTAGACATGCTGCAACAGCTCAACCAAAGTGTCGATCCATGTGAAGATTTCTATCAGTATGCCTGTGGTGGATGGATAAAGAGTAATCCCTTAAGAAAAGGCGAAACCTCCAGAACAGGATTCTCTACCGTGTCTGAGAAAAACTATGCTGTTTTAAAGAAAGCTGTGGAATCTTCATGGAAAACTTATAGTAAGGTATGGTAAGATAGGGGAAATAGACCCCTTGCACGCCAGTGAAGTCGAAGTAGCTCAAGTTGGAGGATAAAACAAAAGAATTTCAAATTCATGAGAATAGACCCTTTTCGAGTTCCAAATTACCGCTGTGTTTCTTGATTACAGACTTATTTGCTCAGGCTAAGCCTCGAATCAGTGTCTAATTACTCGCAAATACCAACGGTAAAGTAAAGAATGCACAAGTTCAACAATACAAACACTTTGAAACTTAACGGACCTTGACTGGAACACGTGAATATTCTTCACAAAATCAAGGCTTAGCCTGAGTAAATGAGTCTGTAATCAAGAAGCATAGCGGTAATTTGGAACTCGAAAAGGGTCTATTTGCAAACCTATTGTTATGTCCTCCAAATTGAGCTGCATTCCGACGTGCTGCAAGACACCACGTGCTGCAAGACACCACGTGCTGCAAGAAACCCCTTCAATTAGTATTTTTCTGTTTTTCTCAGAATGAAGCAGTAATGAAGACAGCACGGTTCTACAACAGCTGCATCGACGCAGACGCAGTAGAAGCAACAGGAGACGCGCCGTTGAAAACTCTCATCCGGGAGCTTGGTGGTTGGCACGTGAATGGCAATGTATCCGATGAAGACATCCTCTTGAGAATAGCGAAAATCAACCAAGTTGTTCCGAAGAAGCCTTTGTTCAATGTTAAAGTCAGAGTCAACCCTCAACGCTCAGACACTCACGTTGTTATGGTAACGTAACTGCACATGATTGTGAGACTAAATTTAGACGGTACGATTTTCGCCTACAACTATCGTATACAACACGCTTGCGTCTGTCGTAGGCGAGTTGTAGGCTTGATTTACACGCTACGAGTTGTAGGATGGCACGAGCGTGTTGTATACAATAGTTGTAGGCGAAAATCGTACCGTCTAAACTGGCCTTTAAGATGTCGAAGCTCCTTGATATCGTCGACAAATAACTTCCCACAATCCCATACGCCACGAGGTCATTTTTTTGAACTTCGGAATTCATTCATGACTCCGACTCAGACAATAGCGAACAAATCACCGTTGCAGTGTTTTACCAGTGGAATAAAAACCTTGTCCAACAAATAAGTAAAAAGTATTCGTTTTCGAGAGTACTACAAGAATTACGAAAGAATTGAAAGAATTTATAATCAATTTCCCGCGATCAGAGTTATAATTTAGACCTTCTTTACCTTGGTTGCTTGTTGTGCACAGTTCTGACCATGTGATGCCACTCTTGGAAGTTGATTCTTTCATGTGTAAATATTCTAACTTGTTCGTCATAAAAGAATAATTCTCAAGGGAATGTCACGTGGTCTGAAATGGGCAATTTGCACGAAGGTAAAGAGTTGTATACTGAGATATTCTAGATAATTTGTTGAGCTTGTGAGACATAGCAACGGTAACTAAGGGGATTCGGAACCATGAATGACGAATTTCTTATTTATTTAGCCACTCTTTTTTCCTTCTAGTTTGAGAAAGCATCAGTAGGGATGTCTAAAGATTACTACGTCAAAGACACTGCTAACAACCTAAAGGTACGTACGAGAGACTGGGCTTTAGCTTGGCACACGGGGACTGGGGCAAAGGCTTTTGGATGGACAAGAATCTTTGAACATAAACGAACGTATAGAGCATGTGCATGTTACGTCATAGCCTCCATCTTGGTTGATGATTACAAAGCACTTCTCATTAGCTTCTCTTGTTAGATCAACCAAGATGGCGGCTGTTTCATTGTTATTCATGTCTCAAGGGATTTTTCGGTCACGTGGTTGCATTCCAAGAATTGCTGAGTTTCAATCAGCTGATAAAAGTCTTTCAATATCATTATCTGCTCCAAATGGTGGCCAAAAACTGACCACAATATGCTGTCAACCAGAAAGAATTCTATTGATGGTTTTCAACCATTCCCAAGAGAATGAAATAACAAAAGACACGGCGGCCATGTTGGAGGATATAACAAAAGAATTCATTGAATTCTTTTGTTAAGTTCCTCCAACATGGCCGCCGTGAAAACCTTCAATTGAAAACTTGTGATTCATGATGAACATTCTACTTGAGACAGGAAATGACGTCAAGTGAAATCCAGTAATTGTGTGAGAGACTGAGAACAAGTATTCAGTTGGGTGGACAGGACACCCACCTGACGTAGTGGTTTCTTCCATTTTTGATTATTTTCTAGTTCTTTTTCCAAGTTTTAGTCCATGAAAGAAGGTTAAGCGGTCCCTTGAGCATATGTCGTATTTTTCTCGTCAGGTTCGAGAAGCTTACCAACAATACATGAAGAGGGTTGCCTATCTTATTAGCGATGATAAAAACTCTACGAGGACTGACGCCCTGATGATGGAAGTCTACAAATTTGAAGCTGCTTTATCTAAGGTTTGACTTGATTAACCGTATACTGAATACCGCATAATAGTAGTCCTTGTTTAACAAACCTGTCTCCAGTGGCTATACAAACCTGTGCCCTAATTCCATGTTCAAATCGAGGAAGGTATAAGTCAGTGCACGGTTCACTCACAGATTCACCTTGCCCTGCTCTTAAAAAAGTGGACGAGAAGACCTTGGGAAGACATTGTATAAATCCCACGAATAAAAATAAATAAATAAGTAAATATCTCAATGATTTCAGCTTGAGCAATTAAACTATGGTTCGTACTCGGCGGAGGAGCTCATGCAACAGGCTGCGGCATCCGGGAACCTGGAAAACGATATCACTATATCTATTAAACAGCTCGCGAATGCCTCAGGAATCAAAGTAAGTATCCACCCTCCCGACCCTCACTTCCAAAGTGTGTTTGCACGGGGGACGACGTAATAATGATTTTCCTGGTCCGAGAATTAAAAGAAAATAAATTATCATACGCAATCTCCTACCCAGAGCCCACGTATCTCTTGGTCGGTACCGAGAAATGCTGACCAAGAGGAACGCGGGCTCTGTTTTTTTCAATAAAAATCTTATGAGAATTTGATTAAAAAAGTTACAATATTATCTCGATTATAAAACACTTTATATAGCACTTTTCGGGTTGTAACTTGTTTGTATGTTCAGAACATTTTGAAATCTTGGGTTGCCTGTGGTTTTAGTATTACTCTATTTAGTCATCCACTCATTATTCTTTAATTATCTTTGTGTGTGTGTGTTTCGGTATTTGTAGGTCGCTGAAATTGTTGGTTTTCTGACGCAAGTTTTTAGCTCACAAAAGTTCACTTTCGACGAGAAATCCAGAATCCTAGTTTATCCACCAAAATATCTCCTATATCTGTACCAGCTTTACGTCAACCAAACCATAAAGTAAGTATAACTTTTATCTTTCTATAGAGGTTTTGCACCATCACGTGATGGCAGCCATGACAGGAGGCAGGAACAATTGAATCTGGTCTAATGTGATTTACACGAGATTCACATTACTGCCATGCGCAGTAGGTTCCACATTATGTCATGCGCAGTAGGTGCTACATTACGCCATGCGCAGTAGGTGCCACATTACGCCATGCGCAGTAGGTGCTACATTACGCCATG